TGACTTAAAGTATTATGTGCTATTTTTTTATATTTTCTTCTCTTGTGAGTTAAATTATATTGTCTCTTATTCACTATGGGAAATTGCATGTCTGCAGTAAAATTAGCAGTTAAAAGGCATTACTCACGGAGAAAGGAATAAAACTATAAGGCACAAAGGAGGCAACCTTAAAAGGATTACAACACTAATCAGCACTAAGGCATCTGTTAAGGCAGTGAGAATACTCGTATTAGCAGCTAATTAACAATGCATTAATCATGCCCAGACATCCATTATTAACCTCTTGTACTATAACTCAAAACTAGTAATTAATAATAAATGCTTTGGCCTAAATGCTGATTTATTAATAGCAGAGAAAAAAAGATCTGAAGTTCAGTATATGGCCTTTTCTACTAAAAGTGTTTTACATAACTAAGAGAGAGCCTGTGGGAAATATGGAGTTTATTTTATTTCAGTTCCATAAGTGATGGGATCACAATGACCTCAAGTTCACTAATGTTGGCATGATGTATTATATGCCTTTTTTAATGCAGTGCAATTACCAGTTGGTCCTTTTTTTACCCAACAGTTATTACATAAATCTGAATCTTTGTTTTGGTGATAGAATTCACATGTCCTACATGTGACAGCCAGTCACTGCTCAAGAAAACAAGCATTCATGTATTGGACTTAAAACCTATAACCAGTAACTGCTATAAAGCCCCTTGACAACTTCACTATGTGACAGCTAGCCCTTTTCTCCTCATGTATGTATGCGTTCCCCAGTATATTTGACTCTGTGGTCATAGAAAATAGAATCCCAGTCTGATGGATTGTTGTGAAAAGGAGGCACTCCTGACAGTGAAGCTATTAGGACAGTGTGAGAACAGAGCTGGGGAGAGAGCCACTTCAGGCAAGTCAAGCACCTCATTAAACAGACAGTGAAGGATGAACTTGCTCCTCAGAAGTGGCCGAAGCAGTCAGGCAGAGAGCATGAATGAGATTTAAACATCCCTTAAAGAGAATCTGTAAAATGCACAGAAATTGATTTATGATTGTCAAGCTAAATTGATTTAGAAGACCTATATAGCAATGTTTTCCTTTGTCCATGCTTGCGCATTCATACATTTCTTTGTGTTTATAACTGTTTTGCTGCTATCCTCTTGTTTTAAAACCATTACATTTACAGTATTATACAGTACTTTAAATATCAGTTTATTGCATATTTTTGGAAAGCATGCTAAGACTTAAAATTGTGAAACAGGAAATCATTGTAATTTTAAATAAAGAAATGTAGTTCTATTTAATCTAGTTTTTGCAAATATATATATTGGCGCCATCGTGTGTTCAGTTGTATTGTTGCATGGCAGTTTCCGTATTGTTTTTGTAAATTCAACTTTACAATTCAATCTCTATTCGTTTTTAATTTAATTGAAATTAATGTAATTTCATTTCATTTATTTGTTAGTGCACAAGGAATACAAAAACAAAAGAAAAGGAAAAGAAAAAAATATTTTACTCTGTACTCTGTTTACTTGGTTTACTTTTACAAAGACATATCACTATATATAAAGGACGCTAAACATACACAAGCAATCCGCAATTTTCCTTAAAACTGCCTCTTCTCTGCTTATCTTTAGTTGTGGCACCTGAGGTCATGAGTCAGTAGTCACTATGGCAACATGAAACGCTTCTCTCTTAGCCCCACCCATCATATTATAAATGGCAGCAATCTTTTAAAAATCAGGTTTAAATCATATATTAAGTTAGTGCGTGTAATTAGTTACAACGTTTAAACCAATTTTAGATTTTTAGATAGAGATTTAATAACTTTAAGGTTAAACATGTTAAGTGAAGTAAAAAGTGCTAATATACTTTGTTTGCACACACTGCTAACACATTATTTTCCAAAACGATTTCAAACTTCATGGTGATTTTTTTTTTTTCATTAATATCATGAATTTTGAGCCATGAACATCTTGACGAAGTTTTCTTGGGGTTGTATTTGACCTGAACAAAACATTAATTTTTATTAAAAAGGTCAAAATATATGAGTCATCAATCGGTCCTCTATGTTTTTGTTTGTTTGTTTTAATCACATGACAATAAACTGCGTCTTGCCCCTTGGTTATACACACTGAGGTTGATCTGATTATTTTCTAACCAAAATACTGTATTGCTCATACATTAGGCCTACATACACACATAGCCTACATAATAATTAGACACAATAAAAAAAAATATATTCTTTAATTCCTAATATTAAGAGAAGTGGATGCTGATTCTGGTGAGACTGGTTAGTTATTTGGTCAATCAGTCATTAAGACCCTGAGAAAATGTTTATATTATGATGCACGAAATTAGCCTATTAAACCGTTGAGATTGTGCAGTCAGATTTACAGTTGTGATTGGTTGTCTAGAAACATGGGAAGTGAAATTAGCCAGGTAGTGTGACGTGTTTAGTTTGAGTTGCAGAGAGACGGTTTACTGTTGATATGTAAACTAAAAGGCATTAAACTCAGTTCAGACCCCATGGCACTGATTCATATCAGAACAAGATGAACCCTTACCAAGTGCATTTTCAGGTAAAAAATATTTGTAAATATAAAAAAAAAAATGTTCTTTAAGAAATGTGAGATCTCTTTCATATACAAGACTCACTTAACAGATTTATATTTGGTTCTGTACTTATGGCTGATGTACTTACTATGCATGCTAATGTATAATATAGTCTATGTACTATTGCACAGAAAATAAAATGCAGCTCTTGCTCTCTTTCGCACACATTTTATTGTTGATAATTTGGAAAGCTTTTCATTTAAATTACAGTCCTAAAAACAATAGTGCAAGAGTGGCCGATGATAATGGCTTTTAGTTGTTGTCATAGAGATGGACTCTTTGACTATCACAATATGTTGTCTGCCATCTAATTTACATTAATATATGTGACCCTGGACCACAAAACCAGTCATAAGGGTCAATTTTTTGAAATTGAGATTTATACAACATATCAAAGCTGAATAAATAAGCTTTCCATTGATGTATGGTTTGCTAGGATAGGACAATATGTGGCCGAGATACAACTATTTGAAAATCTGGAATCTGAGGGTGCAAAAAAATCTAAATATTGAGAAAACACCCATCAGCAACAGTTGCCAGCTGTTAATTTCTCCTTTCTGTTTGTAGCTTAAAGCTTTTAACTTATTATTATTATTTTTTTTAACTTTTGTAATCAAGACAAAGGTAAGTGTCTGAAACCTCTTTGATTTGAACTATTATGTAGGCTACTAGACGTTACTTTTGTGTACAGTATATCGGTGTTGTCAACCGTTGTAGTTATATTGGTATATATATATATATATATATATATATATATATACACTGGCCTTTGTTAATTACTAGGCTACTTAGTAAAGAGATGCCAATAAACATATTTAAAATATGGGTTGTTTCTACATTAATTTGGAGGTTCAATCTGAAATTATGACAATTTAAATATATTAATATGCAGT